GATCCTGGTGTCACTTGCAGCTTCCACAATTCTACAATGGACAAGAAACAACAATGTGATAAAAAAAGAAAATCTTCAAAGGAGTATAAGATCAGGAGACATCAGCTGCAATCTGAGAGGATCTCAAAAACTGCAAGGAAAGAGGCAAAAGAAGGAAAAACTTATGAAACAGGTATTGGGCTAAATCTGGAAAAGGAAACTACAGTTACAACTACAGGCAACAATACAGATGTTGATGTTGATAAAATTGTTATGGGCATAACAAATAATAAGCAATTATATGAAGACTTGATGAAACTAGTTCCACCTTTCACTGAAAGACCAGCAAAAGAATACCTAAGTCATGATCCTGATAAAACATACCAGTTTGTATTATTTGACATTGAAACAACATGCACTGGCAAACAGGCAGAGATCTGTCAACTATCGGCAATATGTCAAAATGGTGACACCTTCTCTTCATATATTCTGCCCAATAATTCTGTTGGATATTATGCATCGAAAGTCAATAATCTCACAGTAGAAACCATAAATGGGCAAAGAACATTGTGCAAAGATTTGAAACCAGTAAATTCAGTATCTCTTCAAATAGCACTACAAACATTTATAAAATTCCTACAAGATCAACAAAACTGAATTAGGCCTACCTGTTGTACAAATACAGTCGAAAATGAGAACCTCGTAACTGTCCTTGTTGGTCATAATGCTGCCACATTCGACGTTCCTACACTTCTTCGCAATGCCGGTAATAATTTCGAAGAACAACTGCACAGCATGAAAATTTGTTTTGGAGACAGCTTGCCGCTTATAAGATCATTGATATCCAATCAACATGCCCCACTAAAGCAATCGAACGGCCAATTCTGTAAAGCAAATCTTGCCAGTGTTTACAAATGTCTATTCGATCAAGATTTCGATGCACACGATGCTTTAGAAGACGTGATTGCACTAAAGAGAATCTTGTTCAGTCCAGAAATGAGCATTGATGTAAAAACAATAGTGGATCGCAGCCAGATATCTTCAGTTCGTGCCATGAAATCTGATATGGAATTCATCGATTTTCGCCATGATCGTTATCAAACTTTCGTTGGAAACCTTCACTGTCCAAACGAAGATCATAGTCCCATCTCACATGGTATGGCTCTGAAAATTGCAGGTAGTGGACTCTCCTACAGCGATCTTCACAACTTGTGGCAGAAATTTGGGGAAACTGGAGTCGTTGGAATACTGTTCATGCCGCCATACAACCCGAAGGACACGCGAAGTACACCATCGGACAAAAATCACCCACGAGTGACGAAGAGCAAAAGGATTCTATCGAATGTCGTGAAATACTTTCAGTCATGTAACGTTTCAAATATTTCCACCAGTAGTTAGGAAAAAATATAGAAATTCAAATATTTTCAATTAATTAAAACTTGAGTGAAACACAACCTTGCTATGTGCGTGAATTTAGCGTGTTTTTTTCTTATCTGCGCCCGCTAAATTGTGTACGCGCATGTCAATTCATTGATCTTGCAGAGTGTGAAAAACTTTGGCCGCGAATTGGCCGCGCGGAATAAAACCGTGATTATTTCCAAAACGAGTTCGGTAAGGTACCCTGAAAATTTGTACATGAGTAGATACATACTTCAAGATTTCATGATGGAAAAATAAAAAAAAATTGTCGACAGAAACTGTCAAAAAAGTCGAAATTTAATTCTAAAGAATTGAGTCGACAGATTTTTTTTAAACTTCCCAGAAATGTTTCTCGACACTAACGTAACTGATTTATTTTAAAAAAAATTGGGGTCACCGAACTCATTTTCGAAAAAAACTCGAAAAACTGCGATATTTTCGGCTATTTAGTGCTACCATTATTCGTTATAGTTGTCATGGAAACGCGACTTTTATCAGAATTCTTCTTGTTTGCGACACGTCTTACTATGTGTTACAATTATAAGTAAAACTTAACCCTGTAGAAGCATTTAAACAGAAAATATTCAACTTTTGCTCATTTGGCTAAAAAGTGTATTGAGCCATGCACCTTAATAGACGGTTTTAGATAACAAGACGCTGACGTCAAGAGGACGTGAAAATGACGTATGCACCTCGCGTTCACTTCCGGGTTTTAATCTGGGACGGCTTGTTGGTCTTTTTCGAAGCAAATTTTTGTTTTCTTGTTACCTGTTCATTCCTGTATTGTTTTCAATCAGTTGTCAAGATATGTGCAAGAAAAGATTATATAATACTGGCCAAGTGTTTCCTGACGAATTAGTATGAACATTCAATAAGTTTTTTTTTAGAAAAAAACGTATATTTCTGTAGTTTGAAAAGTGAACTTTGTTCCATCATTTGGAATAAATACAGGTATTGTTTACGATCTAAATGCTTTATTGTAGCCTATTCAATCAAGTTAGTCAACTGTTCAGTATAAATATAGCATCAGTGTTTATATTGGTAAAATTTAATACTGTTTACGATAGTTTTTCACGCTGGAAAGCTTTTTTTTGCATGTCATACTTTTTGCACTGTTGTGACAGAGCAACTAAAATTGATCGAGTTTTTACTGCTTTTAAGTGCTTTTATTTTTCTATTTTCCCACGTTTTCCTTATTTTTAGTTCGTAAAATGTTCGTAAATGCGACTGCGATTTTGAGCCAGGGTTCGCGGTTCTGATGTTACTAAATATAGTAACTTCTTGCCACTTTGAGCCACGGTGGAACGTGTCAAGCCAATCACAGGCCGTTATTTTATCATGTGAGCCACGGTGCATGAGCCACGGTGGCCATGTTTTTGTTGCGCAATATTATGGAAATGGTTAAATCGGGAATTGTTCGGAAACTTCTCACCATGGCATGCCTTCTAGTACGAAGTTTAGTGACTGAAATGTTTTGGCGCTTTTAAAAACTGTCAACGAGCGAGATTTTGTTGTTGAATCAACATTGTGGTCAGGAAGACAGCAAGGGCAGTTGGAATAGAAAACATATACGAACGTCATGCAGAAAGATAGACCTGCGCGTATATTGGCTTTGCTAAATATAGGCTAATACCTGCAAGGTGAGACTGAATCTATTAAATTTCTAATATTTAAAACTTGTATGCAAAGTGCGTATATGTAGATTTATTGTGATCGAATATATTACAGCGAAATATTAGCAATGTTTTATTTATCCAGTCGATTCAGTATATATTAATCAATTTAATTTCTTTGTGATAAAGTTACAAATGTGAAATAATATTACATGTATAACTGCTTGGTTGGTATATTTGTGAATTATTTAGATCGTATAACAATTTGTTAACGACAATTATACCGTTTGTTGACATGTATGCATTAGTTATATGGCGCCTATATATACTGGCAATGCAATGTTTACAAATTCAAGGTTACTTTATTTGTAAATATTTTGGTGATATTATGCTGTATGGTGGCATATGTTTTATTTATATATTGAATATCCTAATTATTCTGTCAAATAATCACTGGATAAAATTAGGATGTGTTTATATGGAGCTATCTTCATATTGAGTTCTCATATATTTGATCTTTGCCTTTGGTCCACTAAAATAAATTAATCTGTAATAATAATAGAATTGGATATGTATATAATTCAGCGTGTTAATTCAAAATAAGGCAATAAGGTACGGACTAAGGGCACAAGAATGGTCTATGCCGGCTATGGTTATACTTGCATGTGCCTGTGGCAATGAACAAATTTGTACGTGACGTTATCTACTGTACAAAACATAACTATTTTTTGAGCGCACGTTTCTTTAAAACTGCAAGTATAAGGAGAATTAGGGGTCGGATGGGGTCTAGAGTATAGACTTAGAACCTTTAAATAAAAATAATATTATATCAAAATTCTTGAATCTCGAATTCATTGAGTCTTGCCGTGAGTATTGATATATATTCATTCAGTCTTGCCGCGACGTATGAAACATGCCTAATTCTTCTCTTTGTCGAATTGCAAAACATCAAACAAAAATTGTGTGATATTGTCCAAAGACACATGCAGGCGCACGCTTCAGTTCCGTGCAAGTATTTTCGGCGTTTTGTATTGTTATTCGCGCGACAATGCGTATAAAAACTTTAGCGATATCTTGCTCTGCAAATACATAAAATTTGGTTTGCTGAGATTGAATTTGATTGTATATATTTGTTAATTCACATCGTATTAAGTATTCATTCGCTATGACGTCATTATGAGAAAGATCTAAAAATTCGGCGCATGAATGGGGTGACGTCTGAATTGGGAATTAAGGTTTTCGAATACTCATAGCTTGGTGTCGTATAATCTTATAAAAGGATTGCAACCAATCTTTTGGGACTTTAAATATACAATAAAACTGTGGTTATTTTGATGCCAAATTCATGCAATGAAAGATATAATGATGCGATGTACCACGCCGTGACATAACGTTGCATGTTCACCTGTAAGTATTGATATAGTAGGGAATCTCATACAGTTTATTATACTTTATAATCGAATTTTCAGTAAGCTTAGATATACGGGACACTGCGACCGATATTATACAATGAGAATTTATTTGAGGAATTTCGCTGCGCATCTTAGTGTTCAGTTTTGTTGGGTTATAGATGTAAAAAGTATAAAAACGTACCGCTAATAAGTACACCTTCTGTTCTTGTAAGCTGTAAGCTGTAATCCAAATGTTTACTAGTTTCCTTTACTACCACGACTTGACAACGGAAGTGCTGTAAAAATATCATTATAGTCAGATAATTATAATTTCAGTTATATAATACATTTTTTCACTATGAACAACGGAGCAGGCAAATAGCTAATTATGCATTATTCAATATGTTGCTATACATCCCTTGAGTGCGACATATGTACACTGGATGTGTTAGATATAATTAGGCAAATCGCACCACCATGCACGCAACTCTACGAATTAACTGTTAATAGAAAGACCACATTATCCATTCAGCGCACGTACAAAGTTTCACTTCATCCCTCAGTCAAGTTCACACACTGCGCACTCTCCATATATGTATGATGTGGCCACTTAAGGTGCGATATATCTATATTTGGTCTATCATGTGTCTACGTTGTACCATGTTAATTGCTATCATATAGTTTCTGAACGATGTCTTTACTCTGTGTACAATTTGTCTACAAGTTGGGGAGTAGAGAATTTATGAGTTCGTATTCAAACCAAATTATAACCGACTTTAAGCCGAGATTGGGGTTAGTGGTTAGGAGGTAAACGATATAAGTTAAAGTAGCCTGCATGCAGGCCCAAGGGAACTGATGGCGGGCCTGCAAGCAAGGCCCGGTATTTTGTAAAACGCCCCTTTTCATAGCACGCCCCATTCGCGCGTGAATTGTCAAAAAAGAACCAATGACATCACCTAAATATTAACAAACAAACTCGCACTAAAATGTTGCGGGGTTTTCTTTGCTTATTCAGAACACAAACAATGTATAAATGGCTGCGTTTTAACTCCAAAAATGCAAGCAACACAGTCAGTAATTGCCAAATTTGCAATTGCTCATTTTCAACTAAAACCGGAACAGTCAAATTAGGACGAATTTCAACAGGAATCCAGTTTCAAACTTCAAATCGTGAGAGAAGTGGTGCGACCACATTAGCATTGATAATGTGTGCTTCGCTGTCGCCATTGTTATAAATAAATTGTCTCACTTATCAGATCTTGTGTGCAATTCTTGTTGGCGGCGGAAAGTACGAAATTTATTTCAGTTATTTCATTTGGTAAAGAACTCTAAAAAAGAAGAGAGCGTTCAGAGTCCAGATCGTTTCGTTTCAAACGGCAATTTAATACCGTCTTCTGTTTCGCTCTCTCGGCGAAGCCAGTTGTAAATCGCAAAGTGTTTCGAATAGGCTTACATGCAACTGCATCTCAACATCACCAAAAGATAATTTTCTTGAGGAACATATAACGTATCAAGTCTGTTTAAAATTAATGAAACTCAAGTAAGGGTTACTATAGTCCAGTCGTAATGTTGCTATTCCAACGCCTTACGACAAGCAATCCCCATTGGCAATAACGGCAAAAACATCTTTTGCTTCAAGTAAACAATAAACAGTCTGTTCTTGTACCATTTATAATCGAAAAATGTGATCAATTTTCGAATTTTAAGCTTATCGAGAGCCTTTGTGATGAATCACTGCCTTAATTATAGATCCAACAGCAAACAGCCAATCAGAATGCCGCGTTCGTGGGCGAACGCGGAAAGTACAAAATACTGGGCCTTGCTTGCAGGCCCACCATCAGTTCCTTGGGCCTGCACGCGGGCTAAAGTTAAAGTTATGGGTTAAGTAAATGTGATTGAGAGTGCATGAGTGTTGGAAGCAACGCGATCTTGGTTAGCTATTCTCAATGCTTTCCCGACACTATCATGTGTTCTA